CCTTCGGGTCAATTTCATGCCGTCCTGTTCTCCTAATAAGAAACTGATGTTTCGGGATCAATTTCGGTACAATTCCTTTCGTTAGGCCCTGGATCCCGACTACTGAAACAATTGATTTTTTATTTATAGAGAGTATCGAGACAACTGAGGGATAGATATCGCCCTGTAGGACCGCACTACACTCCATTCACACCTTGCCGTGTTCTGGAACTTCTTGTCCCGACCCGTCTAAGTGAAGCTATTTAATTTTTCGATCACCTTTGTGAAGGGATGAAATAGCCAAACTCCCCTATCTTTTCGCTTCCGTTCAATATCGAGAGGGTTGGGTCCCTGCTTTTTATTGAACCATTTACTTTTTCTTGTGACTGCAAGAAATGAGGACCAGATCTGGCAAGTGTTCAGGGATTTCGCCCAACAGTTTTTCATTACTTTCAGGGAGGTATTCGATTATCAGAAGTGATAATGGACTGAGATGTCCTGGTTTTTCCCGTCGAAGCTCGCTAAATCGCATTTCTATGTCTGGTATCTTGGCTCAAAAGAAGCCGATGGCGTACGTGGATCAGCGGTGAGTTCAAGAAGTCATTCAATGTATAGTGGCAGCCTAGGCCTGTTCCAAAGCACAGCGATTCTAGCAAGTTGATTTGAAGTGGCGATTACCGGCTATTCGCCGCGCAAAGTGGTAACCCTAATTACCCTCCGAACGGCATTCTCTAGCTAGTTGTCTTACCGCAAGGTCATTCCTAGCTAGTTGTCCCGCCGCCTGCTATTCGGAACCAACCTCATCTGGGAGAAGATAGGAAATCGCTCAAATGAAAATATGAAATGAGTGAAATAGTAGATTTCTAAGAAACGCCTAGGGTTTTGACTTCCAATCAATGATTTTGATTGATCGCTCTCATATTTGAGGAGGTTCTATTCTTTATTCAGGTGGTGTTACCAATTATGCGTCAACTCCTGAAAGACACCTTCAAGAAGGCACCCAACAAAGCAACTGTACAGGTTTGTGAATTCGTCGAGAACTTTCCCACAGAAAGCTCTCAAAATCATGTCGACTGCTTGCAGATCTCATCAAAGGGCTTGAAACTCATACAAACTGTTCCTGCGATGTCGCGTAAGGGAAAGGTGAAGATGCAGACAGTCAAATTCCAAATTGCAGCAAGCTGTATTACCTACAGGTATGATTAAAGGACTCAGTTCAGAAATTCTTTAGGTTGACAATTCAAAAGGAGAAAAGTCCAATGAGCC